GGGCTCAGCTGTGCGCCAGCATACCCCAGCCCTTGGGACCCACCCGCTTGTAGGCCAAAGCGCCAGTGAGGTTGTCAAAGTGGTCATCTGACACCTTGCCAGCAAAGCTGGTTTTGGTGCTGGCGCCCAGCCGAGCCACCAGCTCCATGTGCGCCACTGCGAATGGGTGCAGAAACCCCGCATCGTGCAGCCAGCCTTTCAGCAGCTCCAGCAGCTGCAGGCCCTCTTCCTCGGGGCCGGCACCGCGCAGCTGTCCAAAATAGATGTGCTTGTGGGATTTCGCCTGCACGGCAGGTCACAGAATAAGTCAGCAAGCGGGGATCTTGCGTCGGCACATCCTGTACCCTGTACGACGTGCCTGCCAGCAGGCATCCTCGGGCGGCGGAACCAGCTTGGCTGCCAGCTTTCGCAGCTTGGTCTGTGTGTCTTCTGGCATGCCGGTGCCGGCCCACACTAGCCCCTTACGGCCCTTTGGCAACCCAGACTGCGGCATCAGCCCAGCGGGGATTTGCGCATTTGCCTCTGAAGGGACTGCAGCTGCCAGCTTGCGCATGATTGCTTCTGCATCGCGCAAGCTGGCAATCCTTTTGCATCCCGGCACTTGCCTCTAGCTCGTACTTGCGCAGCAATGCCAGCCGCTGGTGGGCCACTGCCGCCGCCGCCTCCGCCGCCGCCTTCCACGCTGCCCGCCGCTCCGCGTGCTTCCTCGCGGTGCGGTGGTGGTGGGAGGGCGGCAGCGGCTCCAGCTCCAAGCGTTGCACCTCGCTGCGCTGGCGCTTGGAGCGGCGGGGGCCATCCTCGCTGCCGCTGTCCAAGGCAGCCATCTTTAGCTGGCTGGCCGGCCGCACGGATTTGCTGCGCAGCAAATCGTGCGGCAGTTTTGCGATGGCTATTGCGTCGGCCGTAAACCGTAAAGTGCGGGCGTCCACCCGGCGTAGGCGAAAAAACTCGCGCCACGTCAACCCCCTATTTTTCACCCGCATCAAACCCCACACTCCACCCTCGCGTTCTCGAACCCAGCCCTCGAACCCCACACTCCACCCTCGCGTCAAGCTTACCCTCCCCTCTGTGCTCGCTGCGCCGCAGGTTTCTGACCGACTCGGGCATTGAGTTCCTGCGAGAGTTCCTGAACCTGCCCTCCGAGATTGTGCCTGCCACCCTCAAGAAGAGCACGCGGCCGCTGGAGCGCGACGGGGGCCGCCCGCCGCGCCGCGATGGCCCGCCGCGCCGCTTTGGCGGTGACCGCGAGGGCTACCGCTCCGAGAAGGCCGGCCCGGGCGCCCCTGGCGAGTATCGGCCTGAGTTCCGCGGGGGCTTTGGCCGGGGCTCTGCCCCGCAGTGAGCGCCTCTGGTTCTCTGGAGCGAGTTTTGGTTGGTAGCAGGCAACCCCACAACGTGCGCCCTGCACGTGTGGCTGAGGGAGAATGCAGTGCAGCAGGCAGAAGCTCATGTTTTGCAGGCATGCAGCAGCTGGCTGCATGGCAGCACTCTCCTGTAACATCCTCTATCCTCACGCGTTGAGGGACGCCACAGGGATGCAGTCGGAATGGACACAGCGCGAGCTCTATCTGCTGTGCAGCATTCCGCTTGCGGTACTACAGTGGGATTGTGGGGAAGGTCAGGGTACATGTGGAGAACTGTAGCACACATTGCAAAGAATCGAATGTGTGTTCGGCAGAAAGGGAGCTATCCCAGCAGGAGGGTATGAGCGAAGACACATGAGGTCACTCAGGGATCGCAAGGGCATTAACCAAAAAGAAAAAAATGTGGCAAGATGGAAGGACGACAGGGGTTTACCAGCACAACCGGTGCTGTTCTCAGATCCCGCTGCCTCCAAACTCGCCGTGCCACAGGCTGAACGACGGCTCATCCACCATGCTCAGCAGTTGCGGCTGGGGCTGGGATGGATTCGGCCGCTGCCGCTGAGGTGAGGGCGGCTGCTGTGCCTGCCAGGCTGTTGGCGGGGTGGTGGGCACAGCCACTGACAGCAGGTGCGGCGCATGCTGCTCTATCAGCTGCCGCGGCAGCATCACCCATGGCTGCTGGGCCTGTTGCTGCTGCGTCGGTTGTTGCTGCTGGTAGGGAGAGGATGCGGGAGGTGCCTGCGCCTGCATCTGTTGCTGCGCGGGCCGTGCCTCGACCTCCCGCTCCTGCGACGGCTGGGCATTCACATGAAGGCCCATGGTCGGCTGCTGCAGCTGGCGTGGTTGAGACAATGGCTGCCCCTGCATGGCCGCAAAGGTATCATCGAGCCAGGCGCCCATCATGGCATCGGGCGGCTGCATCTGCTGCTCCTGCGGCTGCAAGTCTGCTGATTCTGGCTTTGGCAACGACCCTGTGGGCTCGGGCGCAGCCAAGGGGCCAGTGACAGCGCTGGCTGCCTGCTTGTCCCGCCTGCAGAGCACAAGAAGGCAGAGAACAATTAAGTCAAGGCAGCCCTGCTGCTACCTTAATGACCTTGCGCCCTTTGGGCGCGAGCACACCGTGAAACCAGCAGCAGAAGCTGGCAGTGCCCGCGGCACATGCACACGCGACGATGCACCATCACCAACACACAAGCAGTGGACGGCATTGGGGCCCTCAGCAAGCCCGCACGGGCCCCATCCATCTCTCGCGTACATTTACCCATCTGCTCCACTTCCTGCTGACCACAACTGCCAGAAGCGCACTGCCCTTGCCCAGCTGCCCCACGGCTTCCCCTCACGCCTCAGGGCTCCACCCCACCTGCGCTGGTTGTGGCGTTCTAGCGCCTTGCGGCACGACCGCTTGCTACCCTCAAACTCCGTCAAAGGGTGGCCCTGCCCGCAGCGCTGGCAGAAGCGTGAGGGCACCCCTTTGACCATGTAGCTGTCTGCCTTCAGATGGTCCTGCAGCATGGCGTGGGACAAGGGCAGACACAGCTCGAGGAAACGTGCACGGGCAGACGTAGGGCGAACTGGCAAAAAGACGTGGTGCCCACAGGGATTGCATGGTTGCGACTGAAAAGCCTGCCCAACTGACCGGGCAGATGTGGTTGCGCTGCAGATAGAAGGACAGCGGCGCCAGGTCCACGGTGCAGCCGTCGCTTTGGCACGTGTGCTTCTTGAACACGCGGGGCCGGGGACCACGCCGACGCTTGCCATCAAGATTAGATTCCGAGGGCTGCTGGCTGCTGCCGGCCGGCACTGCCGTTAGCGCAGGCAGCACCAGCGGCGGGCCCGTGCCAGGCTGATGGTAGTTCCTAGGCGGCGCCATGTAGTGCTGCATGCCGCTGCCGTTGGGCGGCAGCTGCAGCATCATGGGCTGCGGCCCCCCCAGCTGCGCCGCAGCGCTGGGGTCCAGGGGCGGCAGGGGGGCGCTGCCCGATGCAGTCAATGGCCGCATGTAGGCCGGCATGGCGTGGTGCAGACTGTGGTGCGCGTGTACTTGCGCCCCCTGCTGCTGCCCCAGCGCTGCTTGCTGCTGATGCCCCAGCGCTGCGCCCAGCCCCGATCCCCCCGGGCCTGCTGGCGATGCTGCAGGCGGTGCTGACATCGGGGCGGAGCTCTGGGGGGCCCCTCCTGCTGTGCCGCTGCCAGTGCTGTCCTCCACGGGCGGCGGAGCAGCGGCCGGCGGCGGCGGCGGCGACGGCGCCAGCAGCAGTTCCATGTTGAAATCGCCCAGGAAGTCGTGGCCAGCTTCGAGACCATCTGCAGGCGTGCAGCGGCACGTGGGACGGCGAAAGCGAGGCTTGGATGGCTGGTCCAGCAAACGCCGCGCGCGGTGTTCCAGCCAATGTGCGCGGCGTCCTCCTGCGCGAATGGCACCCCTCCGACCCTCCACAGGACGGGTCCCCACCTTCGGAGGGTCTCAGCCTGCCCGCCGTGGGGCTGGAGGCCCAGCTGTTCAGCAGGGCCTCCAGGTTCTCGCCCATGCCGCCTGCTGCTGCTGTGCCCTGACCTTCAATGCCTGGGCAGTTCTGGGATGGGCTGGCCGGATTCGGTGGCATTTCTGCATGTGCCACGTCGACGAGTGAAGGCTGTGGCAGTTGTCATCATAATAGCCAAAACGCGACATGAGGTCGAGGCGCTGGAGGCCCAGGTCGGCCTGCACTGCGCAAGCCAAGGGGACCGGGCATGCAGGAGGAGGCGACGCGTGGTTAGAAGCAGCTGGGCGGGCTTAGATGATCGGGCGATGATGATGCAGCTGCTGCTGGCAACCCCACCCGCCGCGGCGTCGCCAAAGCGTCCGCGCCGCTGCCCCTCAGTGGCGACACCTGCGCCCGTCACGGCCACCGGCCAGTGCCAGGCGCACCTGCGGCGGCGGGCGCTGGGAGCAACCCTGGGGGCGGCCCTGGAGGTATGATGGGGCAGCAGCCCCAGCAGCGGGCACAGTGACGCCAGTTCTGTGGGCAGAGGTGGCTGCCCGTCTCCTGGAGGCAGCCCCTCTGGCGCCAAAGCCGCCACTGCATGGTTGTGTCGAGCTTGGCAGGAGTTGTCATTTACCAAACAGCCTTCAAATGCCATTTCAGTGCCTTTTGCACTGGGAGCAGCAGATCCAGCCAGCCGGCCTCATACCAGGATGAGGTGGCCACCTTGAGCATCATTACCCACAGCACCCGAGCGTTGGACGAGCAGCAACAGCAGCGGCAGCTGCAGCACACGAAAAAATTGTCACCTAGAAGACACATTTTTCTGCCATGCATCATGGGCGCGTGCGCTGCCCGCACGCTCCGTCAATGCTGCGTCCGGCAGCGTTTGCTGGCGGCAGCTTTGACACAGCAGGCAGCAGCCGCCAGATGCTTTCAGGAGGTGGTGCGCCTTGCAATCAGGTGGGCTGGAGCCACAAATGCGCTACGGGGCCGTTTTCACGCTTGCTTCCTCCACGGCAGGCTCGACCCTGCACACCACCAAATTGGAGCGCGTTGGCAACCTTGCCCAGGCAGCAAATGCACACAGTCCACAGCCATGCCTCACCTTCCAGAGTGACTGGCGGAGGCTCCTCCTGCACAATGGAACACAGATGGGAGGGATGCCAGGTGGGAATTGTGAGGCGGCACACCAATGGCACAGCCGCAATGCTCGGGCTAAGCTAGCCAGTCCCAGCTGTAGCAGCCACCCGATGGACGGATCGCACCTTGGCGGCACGGGTGAAATCACGCACGTACGGCTCCATCGCCGGCACACGACGCGCCTTTTCCGCCAATGCCAGCAGGAAGGGACGGACAAACAGGCGGTACACCATGGTGGCTCCCTGGAGGGCGAACGAGGCAGCATATCATGGCATCAATGCCAGGGAAAGAAGGGCGCCCCGATGATGTTTGAAGCGCGCCCAACCAACACTAAGCTCACCTTGAAATGAGGCATCGCCAGCCAGCCCAGCAGCATAACACGCAGCCATCGGTAGAGTGGCACCCTGCAGGGAGTAAGTGATCACAGTGTGAATGCAGAATTGCAGCACAAGGCGGGTGTTGGCCAGCAACTGCGCACAGATTGAGTACGGGTCCTGCCACAGTTTCGAGAAAGTTGATTGTTGCAAAGCAAATCCAGTACATCAGCCACTGCACTCAACACAAGGGCGTGTCAAGAGGATAAGAGGAGGCACACAGCCTGGTGTCAGCAGAAGAGAGACCAAGGCAGGGGCGACGGGTCCACCAGGGAGCAGCGGGCAATGCGTGCACGCACCTGCGTCTCCTGCTCCCTTTTCTTTTGTTCAAGGGCTCGCATGCTCTGGTAGATGGGGAAGAGCATGCCCAGGATGGGGGAGGCCAGTCTGCGTGCAGCAAGAATGAACAGGGCTTGGTCAACCTAGCGGCACCAGGCGGCAGGTGTAGGGCGGCAGGTGTAGGGCGGGTGCAAGTCTGGCATGTCGGCAGTAGGCGGGTAGCAGCGCCTGAAAAAAAACGGGGTTGAGCCCCGTAGGCGCGACACAGATGCCAAAGAGCGGGAAACACTCTGCACGTGGTTTTGGTTTTGGTTGGGCCCAAACCTGCGCACCCTGCGAAGTCATATCCAGGGATGAACTGCAGAACGCCAGAGAGCACACCCATCGTGTGTGTCAGTAATTAACAGCCATGATTTGGACGCTGCAATTGCACTCCAGGGAAAGGTTGCACTCCAGTTGTGCAGCAGAGCATTCAGGTGTTGCATCCACTCGCAGTGCTGCAACCTATAAATTGCAGGCCACAAATGCCTGCAGAGCCACGTCGCCCGCGGCGGCGGCGCCACATGAGTTGGCAGACAGCTGGCGGCAGGAGGTCAGAGTCAAGTTTCCTGACGGACGCAGCTGTGGGAGCAGGCATCGCCAGCAGATTGTCACCTCACACCACAGCATGTCCTCGTATGGTGCCGGACACCCTACACCGCAAATTGTGCTGTGTGTATGCCTTTATTCCACTGGCACGTTGTGTGCCACTTGCGCCTGGAACGAGCGCAATGCACATTCTTGTACTACATTACATCACAGGCCAAACAGCTGGTCATGCCGTGCGCCCAGCCATGCCCCGAGTCGGCTGCACAGACCTGCCGCCTCTGCCTTGTCAGTCAACGGGTCAAAAGCCATGTAGAGCTCCGTCTCGGCGCTCACTGCAGCACAGCGAGCGTAACAGCCACGTATTCTGATTGTGAGTTGGCTGCATCGAACAAGCTCTGCCATTGCATCCAGCAAAGCAGAAGAACTGCACAGCACCCACCTGCGCCCAGAATGACAAAGCGCGACCGCCTCTCAAAGCGTAGCAGCTGCAGAGGGCCAGCGGCGCCAGTACTGCTCTCAAACATGGACGCTCGCAGCTGGGAGTAGGCGACGATTATGGACTGCAGGGCGTTGTGCAGCCGTCAGACCAGGAACAGACAACCGGACAGTTAGAAACTGAGACGCGCAGTCTGGGAACTGGTAGTGGATGAGAGGAGAAGCCAGCAGCAGCATCTTCTCTACTTTTTCGCAGCTGCGCATGCGAAAAAAGCAAACTGCACCCCCTTGCATTACTGCTCATTTGCCCACCTGATGCAGCCCTCCTGCCACCAGCGGCAGGCTGAATGGGCTCATCACGTACTGCTGCCGCCCGCTGAGCTTGTAGACAAAGTGAAGCAGCGGGGTGAAGCCAAAGGGACCGCCACCCGCTGTGGCAGGCAAGTTCTGAGCAGCCAGAAGTGTCTTGCTGCTCCTGCTGCTTCGGCTGCCGCTATTGGTGCCCTGCTGCGTCACACCATCCTGCTCGGCGCATTGCACAACAGCCTGCAGCGTGCCCACCGCCTCCAACTGCTGCTGCAGGCGCTGGCGCGCCGCCGACAGCGCCGTGAAATCAGGCATGCCGCCACACAGCAGCACCACAGCAGTACAACTAGGTGCATCCAGGTAGTATATGTATGCATGGAGGTTGGCAGCTGCAGAGGGCAGGGACCCGGCAAGCACGCAGACCCAGTAACAATGCATCGCTGGCAAAGAGGAGCGACACTTTTTTAAGGGGGCCCTTTCCATCCTCCTACACAGCAGCGGCTGCATCTTGCTCACTGCATGCTATAGCTGCCAGCAGAAAGCAAAACCTGGGTTGTATCGTGGCAGGCATACGGGGGTCATGGCCTCGCCCGAGTGCCGGAACGACTGGTTGGCGCCCAGCAGGTTCAGTAGCAGCAGCACATCCCACTGCTGCATGGGTGCTACCCCCGCTGCCGGACACGCAGCACCCACTGCGCCGTGCGCAACCACCAGCCCGTGGACCGCATTGGTGGCCTGAACAGCATGAGAAGCGGAGGGAAGGATACATCAGCACAGCAGACTGGCACTACCGCACGACAAGGCAATACTCTGGTCTGAGCAGTGGCCCACCTTCAAAGCAGCTGCCAACGCAGTTACCAGCGCTTGCCGTACCCCACCCAACAGCGGCAGTGAGGGGTAGGCGCCCAGTAGAACCGCCGGCACGGCAGTGAAGGAATCGACTAATGCTGACAGCATGCCTTCAGAACCGCCTGCACACAGCACAGCGTGTTCCAACCAGTTGTTGCTGCACTCGCTAAGGCCCAGGTGGCCTGGAGCTCAATGAACAGGATGCCATAGGCATTACTTGCGGTGGATGGTTCACGTTCAGCTGAACATCACTGCCACTGCGCAACCTGCACACCCACCCAGCAGCTTGCGAGCATCATAGCCGGGGTTACGGGCAAACATGGCGCTCAACGCGGCGGCCGTCAGCAGCGACACAATCTGGCCATGCACCAGGATCAGCTGCACAGGGTGGGTTGGAAGCAGTAGGCCATAAAGCTCGCATAACGCAGCCACCCGGGTGGAGGGCCATGGCAAGCCTGTTACTAGAGTCGCGAGCAGCGCTTGACGCTGGGCTTCGGAAGCACCCAGCATGCATGCCCATGCCGGCTACACACCTGCATGCGCATCACTGCAGGTGGCTCTGCCAGGGCTGAAACCCCCACCAAGCACAGTGGCGGGCGCTCTAGGAACGCGAACACGTGTTGACCAGCCCTGCAGGGTGCACAGGTGAGAGTGAATGAGCAGGACAGGCTGGTCAGGTGTGGTAAGGACTTCGGGCTCCTGCATTCCAGCATGTCGGTCGATCCCCAATGATTGGAGCTCCTGTCGCCATCAGAGCCCCGGCATGTAATGGCAGCAGCCCTTGCGCAGGCGTACCTGACGTGCTTCAACGTGTGGCCCTTGCTGTGCGCCACCGACAGGATGGCCTCGGCAGTGGCCATCAACCCTGCCAAGCGCGACTCGTCTCCTCGGTAGCTGTAGATGGGCTTGCCAGCGGTGCTGAACACGAACACGTGCTTGGGCGAGGCGGTCAGACCCTCCACCTCCCTAGCAACCCCCGCTTGCTGGGTGCCCGTTGCCTGCTGAGCGCTGCGCAATGTGGCAGCCAGGTGCTGCGGCTGTACTGGCGGCACTGGCGGCTGCTGCTGCCCGATGGGTGGCTCATCCTGATCCTGCACGCACGCTTGTGGTGTGTGTGTTTGCAGCAGAGGCAGGAAAGCAGTCAACTTGTGATCAACTTGGCAAAATGGAGCAGGCTTGCAGCACTTGGGAGACCGCACTTGGTTGGCAAACAGGGCGGTGCCGCCGCCGCCATCGTCGCTGCGATCGCACACGCTGCTAACCGAGTCGGCGCTGCTGGCACCGGAAAGCTGGCGCTCCAGAGCGCACACTTGGAGCTCTGTGGCTTCTTCGCCTCCCGCTGTAGGCCCCGTCTGAAATTGCGTTGGAGAGTCCGTCTGCCCTGCCCCTCCCCGCTCCAGCACGTAGATGGGGGCCTCTAGGGCACTCGTTCCACGGTGAGGCGGCTCCATCCCCAGAGCCCGATCGGCAAGTTTGCGACTGCAAGAGGCTGGCGGGACCTCAGAGATGTAGGCTCAGCAATCGTGATAACGACCTGGGCCCGCCTTTGATGTAACGACGTGCCAGCGAGCGGAGTACACCCAGTGTTTCTGGCCCTCGTGGCAGCTTTGGCGATGGGCGGGCGATGAGGACTGCTGTCGCGTCCAAATTTCGCCAATCAGCTGGCGATGGCACATTGAGGATTGGCGAAATGCGGGGGAGCCACCCTTGCGCCTGGCACAGCGCAGCGGCCACATGCGGCGCCGCTGTTGCTTTGTCGGCACTTGCCTCCCTTTTGGGGGACTGGGGGCGAAGCCCCCAGCAAGCTGGCGCTTGTTTAACACTATGGAGTGAAGTTCCTGAGGAAAATTGGCCATTTCTCCTCAAAATATTGGCGATGTCAGTCATGGGGGCTGGCGACGCGCTGGCGATGTCGCCCCGCCGCCTGCCCTCATTTAGCCAGCCCTGGCTGGCGATGGCCTTCGGCCAATCGCCAGCCAGAGCCGTTTTTTGGCCCGATTTCGCCAGCATTTGGCGATTTCGCCAGCTTTCAGAAACACTGAGTACACCCATGGGGCGCTGCCACCTGGCTGCCCTGCGCGCAACTCACCTGAACAGCCAGAAAAACATCGCAATCAAACAGATCCGCAGCATACATGCACATGGTGGGCAGCAGCGATGTCGAGGAGCGCTTGAGAACAGAACTGGATGTCCAGGACCTGAAGGTTCAAGAACTCGCAGGGTAAGGGAGATGCTGAGCTGTGGAGAGCTGCGCCGAGCATGGCATGGGCAGACCCACCGGGCAGCGGTTGGCTGCGTGCCCTGGCGCCGGGCAAACGGGCGGCAGGCGGCAGCCTGCACAACGGGAGCTCCTGAGTGCACACCTATTCTGCCTGATCTGCCGCAGCTGCGGCACAAGTTTTGCATTGTACATTGTGAGCGAGAGCTTTGCGGGCAAGCGGCTGCTCGAGCGCCACAAGCTGGTCAATTTGGCGCTGGCACCGCTGATGCCCCACATTCACGCCCTCTCGATCAAGAAGGCCAAGACGCCAGAGGAGGAACAGGGCGCAGCGGAAAAGCAGAAGCCGCCATCGCAGCAGCAGGCAGCGGCAATGTGACTCGTCTCCAGCCGTCTGCTGTTCTGCTTGCTGTTCTGCTTCTGGACACTCTCTTCTCCCAGCTTCATGGGCCCTTAAACGCCACCCGCTCTCCGTGTGTTGCCTGCACGCATGCCCCATCAACAGGCTGGCAGTGCCAGGTGGAGCTCGGGAAGGCAAGCAGAGCACAGGGCGCGGGATCCTTCCGTACCCTCCGGGTCGAAGAAGAACGATTGACGCCCGCCGGCAAGATTCTGTAACAAAGGGCACAGCAAAGCAGGGTTGACGGGAGAGCCTACTTTTCCCAAGCAAGGATCACCTGGCGCTGAGCGGTGGCGCGCTTTGAACATTCAACGTGGTTCCGCAGGACAGCCTCGGAGTACAGCCTCGGACGCACAGCACCGGTGTCAAGGTTGGATGTGTCATATTATCTTGTTTTTATCGTTGAACCCTTGAATCACTTTGCGGCATGCAGGCCATGGCGCGCCAGCAGGCTGCCTCTGGGGCTGTGGCGAGGGGAGGGGAAGATGGTAACCCCTTTGCCACTCTCTCTGTATGGCGTGACAAGTTGCAGGCCGACCTCAGCGCGCTGGGGGTAGGCGGCCCAGACTTCAAGTTGAGGCTGTTGCTAGAGCAGGTCGGTGGGGACGGGGGTGGGGCTCGGGAGCTGCTTACTGCCTGCCACTAAAGCCAAGCCCTGCCTCACGACCCCTGCCATAGGGCAAGGACGTGGAGCAGGCAGGCACGTTGCAGCAGAGGCCAGGGTTGGTGGCCAGCAGGATGTCTCTCGCGAGGCGCCACCCTGCAACAGCTGGGAGTTTTGGTCCGCTCCTATTGCCTGCAGTGCTGGGGTGCCTCAAAGATGCGCTGTGGGATCTGCACGAGGGGGTGGTGTGGGGCTTGCTGGAGCCCGCATTTGAGCAGGGGCAGCAGAAGCAGCTGCTTAATGCTGCTGCAAACGAGCTTAACACAGACAAGCAGCTGGTTTTGCAGCTGGCCAGGGAGCACGGCCTCCTGGAGGAGTACGCAGCGCAGGTGCAGGTATGCTCTCAGGCAGCCACCCTCAGCTCATCCAGCCAGCCATGCCATGGCCGGCACCTGCACGGCTCTTAGAGGGACGAGATGCCTTGCTATGTGCTGCGCTGCAGAAGCCCGCGCACCACACCCTGGTCGACTATGATCGTGTCGCGGAACTGAGGTTTGCAATGCTGGTGTGGCGCGCCAATCTGAAGCGCGACGCCTCGCTCATCGGCAGGGGCGGCGGCAGCTCGGGTGGCGACCCGCTGGCCATGGAGCTGCTGTTTCGAGGCGCCTACACTGAGGCCCTCAGGTGGGGATGCGGGGGTAGCTCGACTTGCCGCCAGTTTGCGCCTTGCATCTTGCGCATTGGCAGCAGCAGGGCCCTGGCTACCCTCGGTGCTGTTGCTGCTTGTTCCCGTGCACCGTGCACCTGCCCCGGGGCCAACAGGCTGATCCGGCGGTGCGGTAGCAAGAGTCTGGCGTACTGGGCGGGCCAGCAAGCAGGCCATGGCCCCAGTGAGGCCAGCAAGCTGCGTCTGCACCAGGCCGCGGTGGAGGTGAGGGTCAGGCAGGCAGCAGGCCAGATAGGGTGCAGCAAACGCCGCGTTCCAGCAGTCAGAAACGCCTGTGCGTTGGCTGGTGCAGAGGGTGCAGAACGTGCTGCTGGAACTAGCGCAGAGTTTCAACGTGTCCCATGAGGCCCTGCAAGGCACATTCAAAGAGGTGGGTAGGCCCGTCTGCAATGGCCGGCCGGTCGAGCCCACGGCCCTCTGCAAGCAGGTCGTTGACACGCCTCCACCCTGCCTGCAGCTGGCAGACCCCGAGGCGGTGGCGGAGGAGGCGGAGGAGGCAGAGCCAGCCAACAGCGGCGCTGCCGGGCCCAGCCGCGGCAGCAGGAAGGATGCAGCTGCCAGCACGCTGTGACAGGCGCGAATACCAACCAACTGTTGTTTTACAATGGACCAGATGAAAAAATCGCCAAGAGCAGAAAATGTGCGAGGTTGGCACAGAACGAATTAAAAACATGTTTGGACAAAACGTGGGGGCTTGGGGATGCTGTGGTGGCCCATATCGACGTTTTCAGGCAAAGGGACAGAGAAGGCCAGATTGCTGAAGAGGGTATCAGGAGTGAGCAAGTGCAATCAGGGTGGGGGGGCGTGGGAGGTGGGTGGCAAGCAGGCGCTAGGGAGATATCAGTGGCTGGGCGCAGGCTGAAAGGGGAGCGGGGTCGTTGTGTTGGGGGGTGAGGCGTGACGCTGCAGCACCTGGAATAGAAGCAGCTGAGCGGTGCGCAAAAGGGGGCACCCAGAGGCGGCAAGGTACAAGGCGCAACGTCCTGGACAAACAGAGTCAGCAAGCAGGGGGCAGAAAGCTAGTCGTGTGGGCAGGATGCAAGGCGAGGGCCGGCCCGTCCACAGCACTGCGCCACGCGCACGCAGTCCGCCGCTCCGGTTATGACGAGATCAAATAGCTTCACAGCAATAGCGGCACCACCAGCATGCGCCCACAGCGGGCGAACTAGGATGGGGGCAAACAAGCTACATGCCCGCCGCCGACTCAATTGACGGTAGTCTGTGCTGCCAGCGAAGCAGGCGCATTCCAATCGCACCGAGGCGGCGCCGCCGGGCCCTCGCCGCCGAGCAGCTCATTCTGCAGCTGCCACATGGCCAGGCGGTTGGCGGCGGCGCCGTCGAGGTCGGGCGAGGCGCTGCCACTGCTGCTGCTGCCGCCCGAGGTGCGCTGGTGCATGGCGGCTGCCAGCTGTGCCAACTCGTCGCTCTTGGGCGGGCTGCTGTCAGCGGAGGCGTGCTGGGCAGCATCCAGGGTGGAGAAGGGGCTGGAGGCGCCGGCTGGCAGCGGCCAGTCGGTGCAGGGCCGGCCGGCCAGAGCGGCTGCCAGCACGGCAGTGCTGGCGGGCGGGAAGGCGGGCTGGGGCACATATGCGGGGGCTGCCGAGGGCATGGCCAGCCCGGTGGTGCTGGCGCCGGCGACCAGGCCCGCCTGACTGAAGCCAGGCAGGTTGGCAAAGGGCAGGGGGGCAGGGCCCGGGCCAGGAGCGTATCGCGCGGCGCTGTCGTAGCCGTTGGCAGTCACGGTTTGGTGCATGGGGTAGGGCTGCAGGTGGGCAAGGGGAGGGCAGGGCGGCGAAGGTCGGCTCTGCTGGCAGAACAAGTGTGGGGGAGGCGACACACCACCAGAGGACCAAACAGCTGGGCACGCAGGAGCGAGGTCTTGCGGGGGTGCCCACGCGGCGTGCCCCACCTGCGGACGTGCCTGCAGCTGCGCGGGGCCGGCACCAGCGGCATTCTCCAGGGACAGCAGGGCCGCCAGGTTGTTGAGGTCCACGGGCGGAGTGTGGGCAGCCATGGAGGCAGGGGCAGCGGGGCCGGCCGGGGCGCCGTCGCCCAGCAGCGCCAGCGTCTGCAGCGCCTGCACCAGCGCGCTCTGGGCCGCCTGGTGGCGGTGCTTGTAGTAGTCTGAGCGGTCCTCCACCAGGTTGAGCTGCTTGATCGGGATGCCGCAGATGTTCATGGGGCTCTCCGCCAGCGCGCGCTGCAAGAGGAGGGGCAAGTGGTGAGCGCAGGCGAGCGCAGGCGCATGCCAAAGCAGGCAGCGAGGGGACAGCACGAGCGCGCCGCAGCATATGCGGGCAGCGCAGAGGCGCCAGCCACAGCTGGATACTGGGGTGCAGGCGCTGGCAGGGGGCGCTGCGCGCCGCGGGCCAGCAGCTCCTCGTACCTGCGCATCCTCGAGCCGGTTGAAGGTGACGAAGCAGAAGGGGCGGCGGCGGAAGGTGTCTTTGCGCTTGGGGAAGTAGACATCTGCAGGGTGCAGTGAGGGTGGCATGGTTAGAACCTTTGGGTCCGGACCCTCTGCGACTCACCGGGGGCGACAGCGTAAGGCCACGCGGCGGCAACCGGCGACGGCCCCCACCTAAGACGTGCCCCCACTGGCTGAAGTGGGCCTTGACCAGCTCCTCGGAGCACTCCCTGCAACCGGGGCCGCGCATGGGGCCGGCAGTGGGCAAACCAGGCGCTGGAGCAAGGGTTTGCTCTCGCGTAATCAAGCGACGCAACTCATCGACGTCCTCGGCCTGCAGCCCGTTCTGCACATTTCCAGCCCACAAGGTCCGGGTGAAACTCACGGTGGGACGTGGCCGCAGAAGAGGCGAGGACCGCTGCCCCGGGAGGCAACGTGAGCGAGGTGGTCGAGCGGGCCGCAGTTCAGGTTGAGCTGCTGCTGGAGGCGCTGCTGCAGGCGCTCCAGCACCTGCGGCGAGGGACGGAGGCGGCGCGTGAGTCCGGGCGCCCACGGGTGTGTCCCGCGAGGTGAGTGAATGTGGCGGGAAGCGCACCTGGGCGTCCGTGTGGTCTTGCACGGTGGGACGGCACATGGCGGCGAAGCGGGAACAGAGAATGGCGAATAGGGCGGGGAGCGGGCGCATCCCCAAGATGTGCCGAAGAGGGCGACGTCGTCACCTGGAAGAAACGAAGAATAAGCGCGATTTGCTCGGCGAGCGCGTTTTCCGCCCGCTCTAGCCCCAGACCGCTCAAATAACGTGTGGAACCACCACCTGGAGGCCATGCACCTCTCCCGTCCATGGCCCCCTCGATGCCATTGCTTTGTAAATGGTTGCATGGGTAAACCTGCGCAGATGGGCAGCAGAACGGCCCAGGGATGTGCGTGGCGCACGAAAGCACCAAGGCAGCGATTGGCAGGCAGGGGACCACTGGGGGGGGCACTGGCCCGTCTGCGGCAGGCGCGTGCGGCAGCAAAAGCACACTACTTCCCACCTCCATGGGCCACCTTCTTCAGGCCAGTCCATCCCCTTCACGGCGGCTGGTGCTGCTGAGGCACCACACGCTGCCCCTCCAGCCAAGCCAGTTACAAGCCTCTCAGCTGACGTGCCGCCTGCGCCGCTGCGATGCAAGAGCTCTGCTGAAATGCGCCGCCGCCACGCAGCAGGCATCCATGTCGTCCTCCAGGGCAGCCAGCGCCGCCTCCCGACAGCACCCTGCTATTGCTGCGCCGGTGAAGCCCTCTGCCTGCTGCGCCAGGCTGTCCAGGTCCACATCCGGCGCCAGTGGCATGCGCCGTGTGTGGATGGCAAAGATAGCTGCTCTCCCCGCGCAGTCTGGGGGCGGCACATGCACCAGCCTGCATGGCGCGTGCGATGTGTCAAGTGTGTCGTCGCATTGGCCCCGGGTCCTCAATCGCAAGCAAGCACGAAGGGGCAGGGGAAACCCGTCTTTTGAGGAAGGGATAATGAAGGGGGTGACATCGCCATGGCGGATGCCCCTGGCAGTGAACTACCTGTCAAACCTTCCTGGCCGCAGCAATGCGGGATCCAAGCAATCCGGCCGGTTGGTGGCACCAATAACAATTACGCCGGTTCTGGACTGCGCTCACACAAGGTGGGAGCAGATGAATCAGGTGATGACATGCTCCAGAAACATGCAAGCAGAGCCAGTCCAAAAACAGCCTCGTTATGATAACAGCTTGGAATCACCCTCGCCTGCAAGCCATCCATCTCCTGGAGCAGTTGGCTCAGCATGCGCTCGCCCACACCCAGGCTCTGGTCGCCGCTGCTGTCGCGTGCCGTCACCATTCCGTCGATCTCGTCAAAGAAGATGATAGCAGGGCTGGAAGTGCTTGCCCTGCAACAAAGATGGACAACAGGTGCAATTAGCTTGACTTCAACATTTGTCAGGTGCGCTGCTGGCCTCGCTTCACAATCAGCTGCGTGCCTCCCACTTACTTGGCAAACAGGGCCGCCAGGGCCTTTTCGCTCTCGCCAACATACTTGCTGAACAGCTCCGGCCCCTTGACCGAGATGAAGTTGAGCTTGGCCTGGGAGGCCACCGCCCTGGCCAACAGCGTCTTGCTGCAGCCCGGCGGGCCATGCAGCAGGATGCCTGCAGGCAGCACATATTGCATGGGCTGCGCCGCCGTTCCCAACCTGGGATGCTCGCATTTGAATCAGCTCAAGTTGGCTGCCTGCTGGCAGGCGCACCTCTGGGAGGGATGACGCCCAGCCGCTCAAGGGCCGCTGGGTTCTGGAAGGGCAGCTCCACGGCTTCCTTCAGGTGCTGCTTCACCTCCTCCAGCCCACCAATGTCGTCCCACGATACCTGCACAGCAGCAACAGGGAATGAAGGGGCGAAGCAGTCTAACAATCGAACACGGCTCATGTTTCACTCCCCACTGAACAGCTGGGCAGCCCCGGATGCCAGCATGCTGTGCCGCCCTCCGCCCCCAGCCACCTCGTCGCTGCACCTTGGGGATCTCAAAGGCCAACTCCCGCATGGCGCTGGGCCGTGTGCGTGTCTCGGCTGTCCTGAAGTCTGCAATCGTGATGCGGGGGCTGCCGCCGGTGCTGCCCTCTGGCGCCTTCACTATGCGGCGCAGGGCAGTCAGTGCTGCCTCGTTGCACAGCGCTGCCAGGTCAGCGGCAACAAAGCCATGGGCGGCATCCGCCAGCTCGGCCACCTGCAGACAAGGAACGGGACACATGGGGCCTTGCTGCGGAGCGGACACAAACCTCTTAGAGGGGCTTTTACAGAGCGAAAAGGCGTGACCTCACGGCATTCCCAGCTCACCTGGGCAGGCACCAGATTGTGCGCCATGCCGCGCAGCTGCTTCTCCAGGATGTCGCGCCGCTCGGGCGGAGCTGGCACCCCCACCTCCACCTCCCGGTCAAACCTGCCCGGCCGGCGCAGCGCCTCGTCCAGCGAGTCTGGGCGGTTGGTGGCAGCCACCACCACGACCGGCGCAGCTGCAGGCGGGGTCGGCGCAGGGAGGGTAGTGAGCGGCCCTGCCTCAACAGTGGTTTGCACCTGCCAGCAGAAAGGTCGGCCCTGGGATGCCGCATTCTGCAAACACTGCCTGACGACCCATACACACAACGCGCACCTCCCAGCCTGTCCATCTCAATCAGCAGCGTGGCCACCACACGTGCCGAGCTGCCGCCGCTGCTGGTTGCTCTGCTGCCGCCCGGCCCGCCGCCGCGGGATGGGGCAAGCGCATCCAGTTCGTCAATGAAAATCACCTGGCGACAGGCAGGTCGGCAGGTTCGCTCCAGGTGGAGACAGCAGGGTAGCAACAGCAGCAGCAGAAACGGAAATGGCATGCCATTGGACTGCCTGCTGCCCTCGCTGCCTTGCATCTCCCTGTGGCTGCGTTTCGCCCATGCACACGGCTGGATGCCAAGGTTTTGCCGGTCAGCGCTCACCGTAGGTGCCAGGGCAGCGGCGGCGGCAAAGATGCCCCTCAGCCCGGCCTCCGACTCGCCAAAGTATTCAGACACCACCTCTGGCCCGTTGATAACCAGGAAGCAGGCGCCCGCCAGCGAGGCAGTGGCGCATGCCAGCACCGTCTTCCCTGTGCCTGCGGCAGCAGCAAGAGGGTGGTGGTGGCAGCAGCAGCCGTGGGGGGCAATGATGTCACGTGATCCAGGTGTAGGAAGCGGGGCTACAGAAGGATGAAGGGCGGACAGCACAGAGAGAAGAGTCCACTGATCCAAAGCAAGCGAGGGGACGCAGCAGATTTGCAGCAGGAGACACGGACCGATGGGTTCCTGCCTGGCAAACTGCCCACCACCACCACCTCCGCTAACCTGGCGGCCCGTACAGCAAAACCCCACGGGGCGGCATGATGTTGTAACTTGCAAACAGGTGCGGAGCTTGCAAGGGTATCACCACTAGCTCCTTCAGCGCCTGCGCCTGCAAGGGGAGCGGTGCAGCAGCAACAGGTGGCAACTGGTCCAGCGAGATGGTGGATGAGGCAATGCCCTCCAACACAATGTACAACAGTGCCAGGGCAAATATGCCGTCAACTTGGCTCCCCGCCTGTGCAAGCACTATTATCCCTACACCCACCTGTCGTGTAGCGCCACCAAGCTGGTCAAATGTGATGTTTCTGCTGGCAATTCCAGTTGCTGCGGCACGGCTGGCAGCCAGGGGCCCTGCATCTTCCAGGGAACATCCCAATGCCTCGGATGCTGCCGCTGCTGCCGCTGCTACCAAGTCGCGCTGTTGCTGCTGGCCGGCTGCCGCTTCAGGGATGGCCTCGCTGCCCACCAGCACGCTAACCTTGGTAGCAGCAGTGATCAGCGGTGGCACTGGCGCGGGGACGCCTGTGCTCCCTGCTGCCTCCACAGCCGTCCCAACCGCCTCTGCCACCACATTTTCCACCACAAAAGCCACTTGTTGCCCAGAGACTGGCAGCACCACCAGGTTGCCTGACAGGAGGCGGCGGCCCACCAGCTGGCGCAGCAGGAGCGCTTCCACCATGTGACGTACACGGGAGGCGGGGTCTGGGGCAGGTGGGGAGCAGGGCGCAGAAAGATGGGCGCAGGAGGATGGCATAACTCACCGCAACCAGCAATCAGAGATGCAACGGCAACAAACACAGGCTTGGCGCACCTTCTAGTGACAGCGCCGACACCAGCGCTTCTGCCTTTGCCCGGCTCTGCAACCGACTTGCTGCTGCTGCTGCTCTGCTGATGATGACACTGTTGATGCTGGCATGGGGAGTCGCTGGCAGGGCTGATGAGGTTTTGCCGCTGCTCTGAGGCGTGGAAGCGCCAGCAATGCCTCGGGAAAGCGAGGGGCTTGCACAGCCAGACTGCTGTCTGCTACCGCCTGCGCTGTCTGTGCGCATGGATGTGCTGACGGGCGGAGTGGAGCTGCCACGCATGGCCGGACTGAACGCTACAGCAGGGGCAGTGCTGCTGCCGCGCATGGCGGGACTCCGGGCAGTGTGTGCGCCGTGACGTGTGCGCATCGCTGGGCTCTGCTCAGCCCCAGGGCTGGCCGCCTGCTGGCTCGCAGCTGGCTGCCCCTGGTCTGTTTGCGCACCGCTGCCTGGTGCCGCCTGCTCGTCTGCCGGCAACAGTGCGCTGAGGCCCTGTTGTCGCCACATGCGTAGATACACGTGGCTGCAATCCTGGGTGGAATAGCTGCTCGTGAGGCTGCCGCCGTTGGTTGCTCCAAAGGTGGCATCCAGCGCTGCCACGTAAACCAGCAGGGGGCTGCCGGCGCCGGGCCGTGCAAGCGCGTCACGCAGTGCGAAGGAGGGCAGCGCCGTGCCCTTTTGCAGGCTTTGCACCGGCCACAGCTCAGCCGCCACCACCAGGCTGCCCAGCTGTTGCGGCTGCTGCTCTGCCTGCACCTGAGGCCCACAGACCTCGCCCTCTTCCACTTCTGACTGGGTGTTGGCGACCCCAAACAAGTCGGCCAGCGGTACGGCAGAAGCGGCCGCACTGTCCGTCTTGCTGGCCACGCCCACCTGCACATGCAAGGCATCAAGGGCAGCAAGCGATCAAGCTCACAAATGTCAACGCCCTCTGCAAAGTAGCCGTGCTGCAGGGCAGCAGCTCACCAGTGCCGGCGTGCCCGCCGCCAGGCGCATCGCATACATGGCATCGGCTGGCAGCCACAGGCGCGCATCGGCGGCTGCAGGAGGCGCCGAGGCGCCTGCGGCCACCGTGAAGGTGGCCAGCGGCGGGCCTGCACAAAGGTCCGAGGAGCAAACTCGTGCTCGGCGACTGGGGCTGCTCTATACAATGCAGCGGTCCGATCTAGTGAAGCGCAATGCCACAGCAGCCTTACCGAGCTCCATCAACCTTGTTTAGGCGTGCTTGCGCAGCCCTTGTTTGCGTGTGTGCTGGACTTTTCCAACTGTTGAGCCCAGGTGAAGAAGAAGAAGATGTGACCAAACACGGGTGACTCAGGGGGAGAAACGGTGGCAGCGACTTTCCAGAGGAAGTCTGCCGCCACTCCCTCCCCACAGGAGGCTGTCAGGCTGGATCTGGAGGGTTCTGAGCTGTCGGCTGCGTCTGTGCATACAGCGATCGTCGCGATGTGCGGATCTGCACGTTGTAAGCGAGGGCACTGCGCACATGGCGGCGAACCGCTGTTGCCGCCTGGCGGGGCTCAACGCCGCACCGCTCGAGAGCAGCGCGCGCTGTGGAAGTGACCAGGCCCGAGTGGGACACGGCGACAGGGAAGCAGGTGACCTGCCATCCCTGTTGAACCAGGTAATGCATCCAAGAGCTGTGTTGCTCCAGCTTGTCAGCAACTGCCGCCGAAAGGCGGGTGTCGGCGGCATGCGTGACCTCCACGCAGACGAGCACACGCTCCTCAGGGGTGAGCTGGCTGAGTGAGATGGTGTGGGCGCGGTTGGGCTCCATAGCAGGGAGGAATATAATGTCCGGGGTGGTATGGCCCTGGTGTCGGGGGAAAAAGCCTGCCAGGTTGCAGCGGGGGCGGTCGCCCAACTCCCTGTGTGATTACAACAAGCGGTCCCCCAGGCCACCACCACCAATGGTGTCAACCAGCACCTTGACTGAGGCCCCTTGACCTTTGCACCTGAGGCCGTGAATAACTGGGTGGGCGCAGGCCCCAAAGCAGTGCGGGATCGTCTCCGGCGGTCTATCCTGGCACAGGCCACATGTGGGGTCGGGATGTTTGGTTGGGTACAGGCGGTGGGCGCGCGCCCGGGTGAAGAGCTGGCCCCACCGCAATTGCATTGCCAAGCTGACGTGGTGCCAGGGGAGCGTGGAGGTGATGCCGACCAGCGGCGCAGGGGAAGAGTCAAGTGTGTAAGGCCCCGGTGCCGACCATGCCTGCGGATCCCTGCCAGCCAACGCGGGCGTATCGAATGATGAGCCGGGCAGCTGAGCCAGGTCGGTGCGCTGGTCGTGCAGTCGCTTGCATGCCGCACTACGGGCCGTGTGGCGGGTCAACAAGGCTGCGGACAGGATCGGTTGTATCCACCTGGCAACCTGATGTTTGAGCTCATCAAAGTTCCACAGGTCGGGAGCGGCACCCTCATCACCGCCAGGTTTGGACACGGGGTAACGCAGCCAGGAGGCAGCAATGCCGGGGCGGGAAGCCGCCGCATCAGCATGTTGTGTTAGACTCGTATGGCCGCCCGGCAGGGCTCCCTGGAGCTCAACCGCAGCATCCTCCGTGTCGTCCGCATCCTGTGCCTCCGCAGCAATGCGGGCCGCTGTGTCTGCAAGTTCATTGCCAGCCACACCAACGTGTGCCCTAACTTTGTACAAAGAGGTGGTGCCCGCCCTGCTGAGCATGGCATTGACGATCCTGCGGAGCATGTGTTTGTGCTTGTGCACTCTGTGACGGGTGGGTGTGTGCAGGGTAGTCCGTAGCATGTGGATGAGGGTGAGGATGTCCGTCAAGATGGTGATGTCCTCATCAGCCGGCGCTGCTTGTATGGCTGCTAAAATAGCAGTCCCCTCTGCTTTGGGCACAGTGTTCAGTTGACCCTCGTGGCCGACCGGCATGAGTGCTAGCAGGCGGTTGCGACGAGCATGACGAGTAATGAAATTCAGGATCTCGCAGCAGCCGGCGTCACACACCCGTCGCTGACTGGGCGCCAGCGGACAAAATTTGCAGGCTATGAACGCGTCCAGCTCTGATTCATCCTCGCCACTGCTGCCGCCAGTGACCCCCTCCTCACCGTCGCTGGCACACTCCTCAGCACCCTCCACGACATCGCCGGCACACTCCTCGTCGTCGCCCTGCAACAAAGGCTGGGAGAGAAGGGCGGGTATGCGAGCCGGGCATGCTTCAGGGCACACCAACAAGGCAGCACCTCTTAAGGCATGTGAGAGTCAACTGCCGGGCAATGTGCGCACACCACCCACCTGCCAGCATCTGCGTCGCTTGCAGCAGCCACGGCAGTCGGTGTCCCTGTTGGCGCAGCCCTTGCCCGCCTTGGCAGCGGCCTCGTCCTTATAGGGGGCCAGGTCAACGGCCACCGTGATGACATACCCAGTTGTGAACAGGCCGTGTTCAACAGACGCTGCAATGTCGAGATCCGACAATTCCTGCAACACAATTGGCAACGAGCTAGCTAGTGTCACGGGGGGCCTCTGCTTGCCAATTGATATGGCCCATGCAACAGCCACAGGTGCAAGTACCTCCCACCATGTTCCCAGCACCAAGCTGCCAACCTTACCAGGTCCTCCGCCCAGTCGGGACTGCATAGTGCCCTGGAGCTGCAGGCAAGCCCGACGCAAGGAAACCCTCCACAACAGTCGTGGATTTTGACGATGGGGGCGCCGCGGGTGGTGTGACCCAACACCAAGCCACAATCGACGGGTGTGAAAATTGGAAGGTGGAAAATGACACGCCAAGGGTGGATGGCGTCAAAATGGCGGGTGGGGACGTTATCGGGGTCGGCAAGCAGGACCTTCAGCCCGTGGATGTAGAAACCTGGGAAACCGGTCTACATCCAGCGTGGTGACAAAAGAACAGGGTCAACACCGTGACGGCACCATGTGTGACTGCTCCCCGACCTCTGGTTCTCGGCCTACCACGCGGCGAAATGGTGGAATGGATAAATTCAGTCTGCTGGCGGGCCCGCTCACTAGGAGACCGCCTTCTGGATCATGAAGCTCGTCCCAAAGCGCATTGGCGGCGGCGCCGGTCGGTGCCTGCGCCGGGGCCGGAGTATAGCTAGAGAGGGCTCTTGCCGCCTGTCAAGCCAGGCGTGCAACCCAGCCAGCGGCTCCGTGGCCTCATTCAAAGCCACCCACCTTAAAGACGGCAGCCCGCACAGTCGCATCGCCAAGGTCCAGCTCCAGCCGCTTGCGGTCCCTCTTCAGGCCGTCGCCATCAGAAAACTGCTCTCCGTGAGGGCGCACGTGCTGGCACGCCTGCAGCAGCATATGCGCTGCCTCGGTCGCGCATGCCGGCATGAAGGTTGGCAATGCCCCCCGAACTGCGTATTTAGGAAGATGTGGTGGGGGAGGTGAGCACAGGCGGGCACTTGGGAGGGTTGGGTGGGAGGGGCAGCCGGCATGGCAGGGCGACGAGGCCGAAGGGGCGGTGAACTCCCACGCGGGGCCGGCAGCTAGGGCCCCATAGGCAGATGGTCGCCCGGCCAGCCAGCCAGTGGGAAGCGCATCCCACCTGGTAGTATGTGTCCCGCAAGGGTAACTTGCAGTGCCGCTTCTGCGGCAGCAACCTCCACCAGGACCCGTGCACAACACTCAGCCTCGGCCTGTGCCGCCCCTTCACTACCCCGCAAAGCGTTGTCCTCGGGGTTGGGGTCGGGTGGCGACTGGCTGGGGCCGACGATGTTGGCGGCAGAAGTTGGGGTGGGCGTGGTAGGCGATGGTGACGAGGGTGGCGAGCTGGTGAGTGCTTGGGGGGCGGGGCCGTTCTCCAGCCGCTCATCACTCTTCTGGCCAGGCGCGTCGGCGTTGTTGGGGCCTACTGCACCGGGCTGCAGACACGGGAGGGGGCGATGTAGAAGGTTGGATGGTGTTGGGTCGAGGAACGAAGGGGAATGTGTGTTTGTGAGGGGTGGGCGGCCGTGGGAGGAACAGGTGAGTGGGGACCGCCGCCGCCGCCCGCCATGATGGCCTGCAACAACAGCCTGCCTCTCGCTGTTGCAGCCGAGCATACTGCAGGGCAGTGCTCGCAGGAGCAGCCGCACGGCTGGCAGCAGGGCCTGCACATGCAGTGCTGCTGCTCCTGCGAGCACTGCCTGCAGCATGCTGTACTGCACTGCCACGGGACGCCGCGTTGGTTGTTAGGGGCTGCACCCGTGGCTGGCATTGGGCTGCCTCCACCCTACCCTGATTCCAGCTGCGCGGCCCTGGCTTGCTGGCCGAGGCTGCCACATGTTGCTGCGCCAAGCCACCCACCTGGTCGGCAGGCGGCGGCGGCAACGGCGAAGCGGGCGCTCTCCAAGCCCCAGCTCCCTGGCATATGTAACGGCGGCGGGGGCGGTACTCTGCCAGCTGCAGGCGCAAGGCAACAAACTTGATCAGCAGACAGCGAGGTGGAGACGGGCCAGCAAGCGGGGAGGATGCAGGCCAGGGCGCGGCCCCACGAGAAGTGGCAGAGGGCGGTGGGTCGGCCGCAGTAACACGGCACGCACCGCCTCCGGCAGCGCGGCGGTGGCCTCTGCCCAGAATGCAGCCGGTGGGGTGAATAAAACCGTGTAGGGCTCCGCCTCGTGGCCCAGGCTGATGGGCACTGGCACCGGCCCATGGCTGCGCTGTTGGATGGGGACGGGCTGCTGCTGCTGCTGCACGTGGATGCCCTCAACATCGAGAGAGGCTGCCACAAACAGAGAGGCTGCCACGGCAGTCAGAAGAATGCCCCAAGGGCGTGACATGGCGAATTTCCGACCTAGGGTTACAAACGGAAGGCTGGCCTTCTCTTCTTAGCATCCAATAGCTGGGCGGATTGTGCTAGGTGGATCGTCGGTGCCGTCCGAGAATGCCGCCTTCGGACGGCTTCCCCACGGGGGGTCTTGGCCTGTGGGCCGAATCAGTGGGGGCATGCCCAGACCGGCCTGGCGGCTCGTTGCACCTCATTTGGGCCCGCCAACCACGGCAGCAATTGCAAGGCTCGCCATGGCTTATGGCGGCCGACCTGCTAGGGTCGACGGGCCTAGCAGCTCGCCGAAGGTGGGAGAGGCTGTAGGTGGAGGGCTGCGGCAGCGGGGAGGCCGGCTCATGTCAAGCCGTGATCACTGATGTGCTGCTGTTTTGTGCCCAGGACAAGGAGCGCCAGCGCCTGACCCCCGCACAGAGGAAGGAGAAGAAGGCGAGAGCAAATGTGAGAACATGGTTGCAGCAGGCTGGGGCCGCTTGCCTCTGTCGCCGTGCGCTGCACCACACACGAGCACATCTCGCTCGCCGATTCTCTGGGACTGCCGCCGCCGCTTCTGATGCAGAAGAGGCACGGGCAGAGACTGCGCAAACAGTTCACGTCACCGTACATCTTCACGGCCAACATTGTGGATGGCGCGGTTGTTGTGCCCAAGCCGCTGGTGCGTGTTGGCGTGTGGGTCGCGGGGTCGGCAGGCAGACTGATTTGAGAGGCGGTACAGCACGGAAATTAGTGCAGCTGTTGCGTTCAAACGCTGTACCATGCGCTTCGCAGCCGTCCCGCAGGCCCGAGCTGCTCAAGCTGGCCAAGGAAATCAACTTTTGCCCGTACACCAGGGAGGACATAGCGGCGATGTTTCGGGGGAACTACAAGGATACGTACAACCTCCACCACGCAGGTGGGTGGACGGGCCGGCGGCTGGTGTGGAGAAAGGGCTCCCAAGGTGCGGGGCGCGGGCAGGGCCAAGGGCGCGGGGCCGAGCTGGCGGCCTGTTGGCGGCCTGCTGCGGGTCGCCTCCCCGCTCGCCTTGCCGGTGCAGGCCCGCCACGCACACTCCCCGCCCCCACCGCCGCTGTGCGCACCCCTGCAGTGGAAGCCATGCGGATTGTTGATGAGCACGGCAAGAGCGGCTACGACTACGCAGGTGGGCAAGCCCGGCGGGTGGCTGGCGGTCGGGGCCAAGGGCGCGGGGCCGAGCTGGCGGCCGGCTGCGGCTCGCCTCCCCGCTCGCCTTGCCGGTGCAGCCCTTCCGCCCACACACACACACACCCGCGCCCCGCCGCTGGCGCACCCCTGCAGCGGAAGCCAGGGTGGCCACCATGCGGGAGGTTGATGAGCACGACAAGAGCGGCTACGACTACGCAGGTGGGCAAGCCCGGCGGGTGGCTGGCGGTCGGGGCCAAGGGCGCGGGGGCCGGGCTGGCGGCCTGCTGCGGCTCGCCTCCCCGCTCGCCTTGCCGGTGCAGCCCTTCCGCCCACACACCCCCGCCCTATGCGCACCCCACCCCACACACACACCCCGCCCCCCGCCGCTGTGTGCACCCCTGCAGTGGAAGCCATGCGGATTGTTGATGAGCACGGCAAGACCGGCTACCAGCGCAGAGGTGGGTGGGCCTGGCGGGTGGCTGGCGGCGGCTGGATGTTTGGCATTGACGCTATGTGGGGAAGGGGCGCAAGGTGTGAGGCCAGGATGTGCCTACTAGCCAGCAGCCCTTCCCTTGCTCACTTTGCTTGCCACCCGCCCGCGCCCACGGCTTCCACCCCCCACCCACTCCCCCCGCCCCTTCCTTCTCCGCCAGTTGAGACCAAGCGGCGGAGCAAAGAGGGGCGGGCTGCTGTTGCAGAAGCCCTAGCAGCAGGAGCAGCAGCGCTGGCAGCACCCGCGGGGCCGGTTCTGTCTTCGGCACCCGCGCTGGCAGCTTTCGCAGCAGCATACTTCCCATCGTAGAGCGACAGAGACCAGCACACCCAACTGTGCACCCCCAACTCACATTATGCCTTGGAACCTTGGATGCGTGGAATCAATTAATTTTTGTCTCACTTTCTTAAAAGGGAGACATTGGCATAGGAATGGAAGCCGACTTTCCAATTGCCGAATACATCTTGGCAGTACGTGCGGGCCTGGATCGCCCACGAGTTCTGCTTCAGCGCACACTTGCAGAAGTGTGGATGAATGACTACAATGAGGTGCTGCTTCGACTCTGGCGTGCAAACATGGATATTCAGTATGTGCTGAATGCCCATGCGGCTGCCCAATACATTGCAAACTACACCAGCGAAATGCAATGAAACATTTCGCTTCGGCAAAAAAAGTTCAATGGAGACAGTTCACTGGAGACATAGCACATGAGTGGAGGGTTGCTGCACAACACTGCAGCATAGGCGCTGGGCCCCGCTTCAGGGCATCACCGGCAGCGACGCAAACGCAGCATCCAGCTTGGCGCTGGGCAGCGGGATGTCTTCCAGCGCGCCGTGAATGAATTTGTCGTATGCTGGCAAATCCAGCAGCCCATGGCCACAGAGCGCGGTGAGAATGACCTTGCCTTCGCCTGTCTCTCTGCAGTCACGTGGTTGCGGAAGCAGCACAGGCAGCAAATGGATCAGAACGGTCAGCTGGCAGCTTCTGCACTCTGGCGCACAGCAGGCAGAGGCAGGTAGGAGCAAAGACAGCAACTGCAGCACAGCATGGCGTGCAGGCTGTGGCACTGCGCCCACCTGCACTTGAGCGCCTCCTTTATGGCCTCCGCAAGGGCGTGGGTTGGTTCGGGCGCGGGCACGATGCCCTCCGTCTGACTGAACTGCAGCGCGGCCTTGAAGCAGTCGACCTGGGGGACAGCCACCGCCTCGATCAGCCCCAACTCCTTCACGTGCGAGATGAGGGGCGACATGCCATGGTAGCGCAGCCCGCCAGCGTGGATGGGATCCGGGATGAACTGTGCGCCTGCAGCGGACACCAAGAGGCGAGGGATGACATCGGTCACAGCTTGCGTGGAAGGGGCAGCAGAGGGCTCGGCTCTTGAGACAGGCCCCACCTGCCGATGCCAGCATGAGGCGACCGCCAAGGCAGGGCGCCCGCAACTCGCAGCCTCCACCCCGGCTCCTGCGGATGCACCATCGCTGCACCTTCCTCCAGCTCCAAGAAACGCCCATCTGCCACGCTCACCCAGGGTGTGCATCTTGAGCAGCGGCGTGAGGCCGGCGGTGTCACCAAAGTCGTAGGCATAGACTCCGCGCGTCAGCGAGGGACAGGCCTCTGGCTCCACGGCGCGAATGATAGGGTTCATGTTCCCTGCCATTTTCTCCCGCAGCAGCGGAAAAGCAAGGCCTCCAAAGTTGCTGCCGCCGCCCGTACAGCCAATCACGAGGTCGGGCGTCTCGCCGACCATCGCCAGCTGCTGCAGCGCCTCCTCGCCTATCACGGTCTGGTGCAACAACACGTGTGACAATACACTCCCCAGGGCATACTTTGCAGTAGGATCACTCGCGGCCACCTCGACCGCCTCGCTGCGGGGCAAGCACAGGGCCAGCGGTAGGTGGCATATACAGTGCAGCTCGTTGGCCACACTGCACTGTGTCAGGCACAGCCATCCATCATTGCCCGCACCTGATGGCAATGCCCAGCGACCCTGGGGTGTTGGGGTCCTTGGCCAGGATGTCCCGGCCCGCCTGGGTAACGGTGGAGGGGCTCGGGTGCACGGTGCCACCCCATAACTCCATAAGCATGCGCCTGTGGGGCAATGGTGGAGGGGTTAGGGTGCACATTTCTGCCCCATACCTCCATCGGCAGCCACATTCAGGCAAGGAACCAGCTTCCTGCACGCACCTGTAGGGCTTGGAGTCGTAGCTTGCGCGCACCTGCAAAGGATGGGGGAGAGAGGCACATTCAGGCAAGGCCAGCGGCTGCGAGGCAAGCAGCGCTTGCTTGCCGCTGCCGCTGCCAGCCCTACTCGACAACTCCCCCGCACGCACCTGGAAGATCTCGCACTGCAGGCAAGCACGCATAAGTTTGTTTGCGCAGTGTCTATTTGCGATATGGTGTGGCATGAGGAATCCAGCAGCCACCCTCCCAGCATGCAGTGCAAGCAACCACCCCGCTTGCCTCCATGTCAAAGAGTTTGCAGGCGAACGCCAGCGAGGCGCCCCACTGCCCCGCCCCCGTCTCCGTGGTCAGCTTCTTCACGCCGGCCTGCGCATTGTACCAGGCCTGCGGCACCGCGGTGTTGGGCTTGTGGCTGCCGACCGGGCTGACGCCCTCATACTTGTAGTAGATGCGAGCCGGGGTGTCGAGCAGCTTCTCCAGCCGCCGTGCACGGTACAGCGGCGTGGGACTGCAGGCGCAGGGCAGTTGAGAAAAAGGTGGGAGCAGGCGGCGCCCCAGTGGTCTACTGCTTCAATGTGGATGCTGCTTACCGCCACAGTTTATACACTTCCAGCACCTCCTTCGGGATTGCAATGTACTTCTCCAACGACATCTCCTGTTCGATCAGGCTCCGCTGCAAGGAATTGTGGCAAACAATGTGATTCGGTGCTTGTGCACCTCGCACATGTGCTGCTAGCGCATGTTGTGGTAGGGTGTTGTCCGCTGTGCTGACGGGCATACCGGGAAGATCGACTCAAGATCTTCCGCGACGAGCGGCAGCAGCGTGGCGGGGTTGAGCGGGGGCGGCGGGGGCATGGGCAGGTCGGGGACCAGATTGTACCACCGTGTTGGCATCTTGTCCTCATCTGCAGGATTATAAAAAGGGACCTTTCATCCAGCGTGCAGCAGATCGGGCACCAAGGATCTGCTGCACTCACCCAAAATAATTTTCGTGCGATGCTGATAGTTATTGGTGGCGGCGGTCACGACCAACCGGTGGTGGCGGTCACTACCCGGCCGGGCGGCAAGCGGCGCCTGCAAACCACAGCCAACCCAAACCCCAACTATGCAGGCATGAGCTGCAACGTGCCCTACGCTCCCAGCAGCGGCTCTGGCGGGCCGAGGCTCTCAGAAACCTAGGCCCTCCGAGACCACGCCACCAGAGTGCTCGGGTTCCAGAATGTATCTTCGCCATCGGCCGTTGAACCGTGTCAGGAGCGCACCTTGGTGCCGCGAGCAGCCAGGTTTGGGAGACTGTGTTTTGATGACAGAAGCATGCTGGTGGAGGCACTCAACCCTAACGAAGCTCAGCTGCCTCTTCAGTAGTTGTAATTGATGCTGGATAGGGGCCTATCGAGGGACAGTATGAGCTGCTGCCCTTGCTGCTACGGCTCCCACCGCGGTGGCCACCATGGCACCGTCACGCCGGCGCCCTGGATCACCTAGCCTGGTGATCCACCACCTCATCACCCCTTGCCGCTGCCGGGCTCTGTCAGGGGGCGAGTATTGCTGCATCAGCAATGCTCATGCGCGTTGCAAAATAAAATAAACAAAGTACCGAGGGCCGCCTCTTGTTCAGCAGGTGCATCAAGCCACCAGATGTTCACCGGCCGGCTGCCTTGGCAAAGCTGAGGGGCTTGCCAGGCGGCGCATCCAAGTCCATGCCCTCTGCCTGCCATGAACCCTGCTGCTGCTTGTCGTGCTGCTGCTTGTCGTGCTGCTGCCGAGCCTGCTTCTCCTGCTGCCGCAACGCTGTAACCTCCTCTGCGCTGCGCACCCGCATGGTGAGCGTGCCGCGGTAGGCCCTACGCGCCACCGAGCGCTGCACCACCGCCGCTGGCGCGCTGGTCACCGCTGCCAGCGCCTGCTGCTGTGTTAGACCAAACAGGGTGGCCAAGTTGGCCACATCTAAAGGCCCCCGCAGCTCCGTGTAGCTGCGTGCACCGCTGCTGACCACAATGCCGCGCCCCCGCGTCTCTCGGCACAGCGCCAGCGCATTGGCAAACAGTTGCCGCCGCAGGCCCACCTCGCGAAGTGCCGGTGCAAAGCAGATCTGCACGAGGGAACAGGGAGAGGCGGCTTCAGGGCTGTAGCAGCAGCAAGGCCAACTGGCTCGCTCGGCATCTCTTGTTCAGCTTCCCTCTCAAACCAACCCAAACGATCAAGCAGAACAAATCCCCAGCCAACACTTCTCTGCGCTATCCTCGCTGTGCACCGCACCTCAAAATGCACGCCGCGGGCCAGGGCCGCCCTGATGAATGATGGCTTAAAACGGTAGGGCAGGCGGCGGGAGAGGTCCAGCGCAATCAGGTCCACTTCTAGCGAGGCGCAGGCCAGCTGGAACAGGCGCTCGCTGCTGGGCTGCACAGCCACCAGGTCATAGCCACGGGCCAGCGCGCTGCTGCAGGCCGACTGCCCGGGGGGGGGGGGGGGGGTAGTGCAGGGCAGGTGGGCATACGGCTTGCTCAGTCAGAGCATTTGATCGTCTGGTGGAGGCCAGTGCAGCACAACGCCAATCACGGCACGATCAAATGCGTAATCATGGCGCAAACCACATAAGTGAGAGGGCAGCAGCACCATGCCTGTGCAGCCGCGGCATCGTCGGCGGGGATGTTGATGCGCGTGAGCTGGCGCACGGAGTAGGGGTCGCCGTGGCGCCGCCCACCGCGCTGCTCCGCTGCTGCCAGCGCCTCGCGCACGCCCTTTGCCGCCGACAGCAGCGCCTGCAACTCCACTGGCCTGATGGAGCAGCGGTCTGCCTGCTCGCTCAGCTTGGCGGCCGCCTGGTGCACTACGCCTACCGCGTCCCAACCCAGCTTGATGGCCTGTGACACGCGCTCGCGCTGTGTCTGCGGCTCCAGCAGCGTGTGCGACACCGCCAGGTCGTAGTATGGAAGTGACATGGGCAGGACGGGGCGCGGCGGTAGGTGTCCAAGGTGTTGGGTCAAGCAGGGGACCCAGAGCCTGCAGGCAGGAACGAAAGTTTTGCCCTCGGTAGGGTTCAGGGTGGCGGTGACGGCGGCGGCGGCGGCGGCGGCAGTCTGCAGGTGCAGCGCCCGCAGCCCTGTGTCTGCACACATTTCGTCTCTACCGCGAGCTCAGCCAATCAAGGGAGTCAGCCTCACGGGAGTAGCCAGCCAAGGCACACAAGCAAAATAGGCAACTCGCCTGAAGCCAGGCTGCGGTGCCACAGCCGCTGCTGGAATGGTAAACACTGTGCTAGTGCAGCGAGTGAAGCGCCAGCATGCAGAATTTCGCCAACTCAGCGCTCACCGCCCAGCAGGGCCCTGCACCGAAACAACCCTGGGCGCACCTTCAATCATGCTGGACAACCATGCTGGATCGAGGAGCGTGGCCAGGAACTGCCACCAACGCCCTGCAGCAGCCGCGACTTACAATATGGCACCAGCAGCAGCCCCGCTCCTCACGAGTTATTTCAAGCCGCAAGGCAGTGTCCCAAGCATCCGGCCGACTGAGGCTGCAGCAGCACAGGCGGATGGTGCAGCCCCTTGCAGCCTCCGCCGCGCCTCCCGCCGGTGATACTGGCCCAAGGGGGCAGGGTGGTGCTCTGGATGAAGCCGTCAGTGCTTTGCGGTCGCGCCTGGAGCCTGCGGTTCTGGCGGAGCTGCAGGAGCAGCAGCAGCAGCAGGCCGCTGCCTATCGCCGATCGTCGGTCCGCCGCCTCGAGGCGGATGGCCTCGTCCTGCAAAACCTGCTGGCGGCGCCGACAGGCAGGCGAGTGTGGGCACCCACTTGGCCCGCTATCAACTGTGCCAAATGCATGATGGCATCACCTTGCCGTGCCTGCTCATTCACTGTGCGTGCAGGGAGCTGTCTGACTTCATCTGGTGTCTCACTCTTCGCAATCGGCAGCGGCTACCATATCATCGATTCAAGCGCGGTGACACTGTGCTCCTGGCCCCATCTCGCCCCAAGCGCGCGAACGCAGCCAGCAGCCAGCGAGCCAGCAGCGGCAGCAGCACTATTGATGTCAACAGCTACAGCGATGGCAGTGACGTCACCAGCGGGCCGCAGGTGCTGGATGCGACCCTAGAGGGCACGGTGCAGGCAGTGGGCCAGGACGAGGTGCGGGTCGCGGTGGCCAAGCCGGTGGCGGAGACGATGGGGGCAGCTCCCGCAGGTGCGCTCTGCTCATGCGCCACCTCACCCTCAAACAGTCGTTGGACTTAATGCTCTATGCATCCGCGCAACATCTGCTGCCTGTTTCTCCACGCCCGCACTGACGTCCACGCCCGCACTGACGTCCATGGGCTCGCCTGCGCTTGCAGGCACGCGGTGGCGGCTGGACCAGGGCGTTAGTGCCACCACTGCGCAGCGCCAGCTGGCCGCCTTGTCCCGCCTGGGCATGCTGCACGACTCCAGGTGCCGGGGCGAGGCCGCGGTGCGGGCCATACTGCTGGGCTCTCCGCAGGCTGAGCGCTTGGCTGCGCGTCCCACGACCTGGGCTGAAAGCAGCGAGTGGCGGTCGGCCGCCGCGGAGCAGCTCCGCCGGCAGCAGCAGCAGCAGCTGAACGAGTCACAGGTCAGGGCGGTGGCGGCTTCGCTTACCCGAACCTTCACCTTGTGGCAGGGCCCCCCCGGCACTGGCAAGACGCGAACGCTGCTGGCATTTGTGGAGGTCATGGTCCGCGCAGTGGAGGGGTCGGTGGTGCGGCGGCATGCGCAGGGCGCCATCCTGGCGGTTGCCGACACAAACGCAGCTGCTGACAACTTGCTGGACGGGCTGCTGGCGCGGGGGATTAGGGCGGTGAGGTCTGCCAGGCTTGCTTGCCAGTTGGAGGGGGTTACCCAGACACTAGCCGTTGCGGTGCTGCATCCACCGGGTCCTGCTACGCCTCTGGCTGCGCCCCGCAGGTGCGGGTGGGGCAACCAGCCAAGGTGCGACCTGAGCTGCGCCACGCCTGCCTGGAAGCGCTGGTGCAAAGCACTCCAAGTGGGCAGCGCGCGGCGAGGCTGCGGGCAGGCGCAGACGTTTTCCTGCAGCAGGTGCAGCAGGCGCGGCGGGCACTCCAGGAGCA